CCTAGGTTCCAGACAGCGTGTCCAGTTACAGAAGGACACGTTTTCCTATCTGAGCCTAACAGGCATGGAAACCAAGCCCTCTGCTTTACACAGCAGTGGAGTTTACATAGACTACTTTTCTGCTATATGAAAACACAGCCTTTTAAAGACTCTTTGAAGTTCAAGTCGAGTTTCAAGTAATCACCTTGCAGTAGCTCTAGGAGAATTATTGTTCCCCCTGATTAAAAGTGCCTATTTTTAAAAAAGGAGTAAAATGGAAAACAGGCCTTGGCGAATCATGCTCCCCGAGGCCACTCACTGCTCGCTTTCTGGCTTTTGCTAAAGGGCAGAACATGTGGAATTCTTCTAAACTGGCAGGGGATCAAGCACAACACCACAAGGCGAGGTAGCTGAGAACACAAAGAACGGGAATCGATGCGTGTAATTCTCACCCAATTAAACAGGAAGTGCATTGTATGACTGGAAAAACCTAATCCAAGTTCTAAGGTTTGTCTCTTTGTATCTTTTGAGTAAGAACAATAAAAGTAAGGAACCTGAACCTGCTATTTGTACTAAAGGGCTAAAAATAAGGCCCGAGTAAATAACTCACCAAGCGACAGAAATATGAACCCACATGTACTTGGGATCTAGGTGATCTGAAGTGGCTATTCACTTTCATCAGTCCTCTGGCTGGTGATGGTGCCCACTTCATCTGACCCAGGTGGGCAGTGACCGGAGTCTGGGATGTGGCCCCTTCTGCCCACACCTTCTCTAATTCAAATCACAGTGATGTGGAAAAGCAAAATGCAGGTTTGCTATGGGCAAAATGTGTGTAGAAATGGAAACTCAACAACTTGGTTTAATAAAGAGGATAACCGTATCAAAATTTATCATTAGGCCAAATTTCAGTTGAGTAGCAATTTAAAAAGAATAGTTTTTATTTTTTAAAAAAGACAACCATTCCTCATTAAATAACTACATGATATAGTTTATAGTTTTCTCTTTCATGAGAAAGAGAATTTTATAGTCTAATCTCTTGAAGGACTTCAATGATAGAATTGAAAAAAACAACAGACAAAACACTTTGTTACACTGAGCACCTTGGACCACAGGATGCTAAGGCGTCAGTGAAGTCCTCATGGGTCCCTAGATGGAGCTATTAGAAACAAGATGATGCTGCGATAGACTTAAAATGAACACCTATAATTTCTAAAAAAGCTGTAGAGAATACTTCAGGGATTACTAAAAGCTAGCAAAACACTTTCCTCAACATTCTTAGAGATTCTTTCCCCTGCCTGAGCATCTGGGGTAAGAGGGAAGTTCAGGAAGCTTTGGCTCTTCACAGGTCACCCTGCCTCTCTCAGACGTGACCTCTGTGTCCTGAACCTGGTGAGTTCCTATGCTTCTTACTTCTAGGTGACAAGGAAACCAAAGATCTTTCAGCTCACACCTGAGTCACTTGCAAAGGACTGTCTGGGAGTTTACAGTGTACTACATGTGATCAAACACATCTGCAAGCCCAGAAAATCAAGCAATAGTCTACTAGGCTGAGTAGTGAACTGCTAACCCACACCCTGGCTTCTGCCTTGGTTCCTGCTCCGACCTGAAGTGAGAAATGAAGCCACACTTTACCCATGACAGAGATCCGAGGAGCAAAGTAGTATGTTCTGGAAAAGATTTTGGTGCCATTATAAAAAGCAATAAATAAAACTTAACACTAACCATGATGAACGTCAGGCGTGCTGGGCCTAGGGTCTCAAAAACCCTACAGACCATAGAGACACAGGCTGTGCACCCGCATCAGGCACTTTGCATTTTTTATTCTGCATTAGTTTCCCCGGCGCCTCAGAAGGTTAGCCTGTCTGTGCACAAAACTCCTCATTTAAAATCCAGGGAAGTCACTTATCAGTGTGCTGAAGAGCATCACTTTGGTTACAAGGATAATATTAATTTGTCAAACATTTACTGACTACCTACTATGTGGCACGTACTGAGATCAGCAGATGACAAAGGGTCCTCATGCAGTTCACATTCAGCAGCTGGAGAGGGAGCACGGCATGATGTCTGCCTCGTGGTTAAGCTCCCAGGCGCAGCTCAGTCCTTGGCAGGTGCTCAGTGAGCATCTGTCCACTGGCCCAGGGGCAGGCTCTGCTACTCTTGACCCATCTGTCACTGCTGTCCTCAGGGTCTCTGTGGCTCCGGGGCAGCCCTGGAGAGCAGCCTCGCCTGTCTCTCCCCAGGGCAGTTAGCTGGGGGTTTCAGTGCCTTTCTGCCCTTACAGTGGAAGAGCCACCTCATTTTCCCCCAGACAATCAAATGTCCTCATGTGACCAAGGAACCTCTCATTAGGAAAGTGGGCATCCTGGAAGCTAACAGGCTGGGTTCTTCTCTCCTTGGGAAACTTCTGGGAGTCTCTGGTTTGGTAGACTGGGTAGGAAGATGAATGGACCAAGGTAGCTGGGCTCTTCCGTGGAAACCTACCTCACTGCCCCTGAGCAACTGAGCTGCCGGAGCTCAGTGCTATCCTTGCCACATTTAGACAAAGATTGCAGTTCCTATGGGTGGCCTAGGGAATCTCCCCAACTTACAAATCATAAAAATCACACTTCCAAACCATCGACAAAGGAGGTACCATTAGTATAGTGACAGTGCAGCGTAGAGACCTCTTCAACACACTACACGCTGCTCAGCACACCCCACGGGGGTTACCAACTCCTCACACCAGTGAAATACCAAGCCAAATTTCTTAGGCCAAATCTTTACAGCAAACCAACCCCTGGGTGGTAAACACTGCTTTTGATCCTGCCACGGAAGAGAAATGCAAACACCAAGTAAAACTTATTTCACACTACAAATAATTCCATATTTACAGTCAACATGAATCTAACACAGTAGAATATACTAAGTAAGGGTCAACAGGCTCAAGAATTTATCTGAAGCACCAGGAGACAGTAATGTATTGTAGTTTGGAACCACAATTCAAAAAGTAAACATACACACAGACCCACAAGCCACATGGCCCAGCGTACACAACGGTGCACACACTGCTCATGCGCTTGTCTCCACCACACTTTCTCCTCTCATAGGATACAAGCACTCAAAAAAGCAAACACTTCATTTTAAATTAAACACTTGAATCTTTGAAAGACCCAAGTTTGGATGTGTTAAACAAACAAACAAACAAACAAACAAACCTACTGTAGACTGCAGTCAAGGGGAGCTTCTTTAAATGTCCACTTCCTCTAACCCGGGTCAGCCTCCCTCTGTGGTGGGATGAGGAAAACAAATTGCACTTCCCCGAAGATACTGTGTTTAAAATTGTAAGATTATCCTCAGCTGCCAAAGGCAACACACACCTGGTCAAAGTGCCTTGAAGAGAAAGAACCACCCCAAATTTATCAAGAAACAAAGTTTCAAGGCATAAGTGGAATGCTAAAACACAAACCTGCATGAAATGAGTTATAATTTACAAGACTAAGTGTAATTTACAAAAAAGTCAAGATTAATTTTGGAACATAATAAAATTCAACACAGCCCTATGCTTTAATACGATAGTACTGTATCTATGTACACTAAAGGAATAGTTTGGCACTTAGCAGCTTCTGTTTGTTATTGCATCCCATATTAAATGGCAAATTTATTTTATAAAACATTATCTAATTTCTGCAGCTACAGTGTCAAAGAACTAAATTAAAAAAAAAACAAAAAAACAAAAACTTTTTTAAAGTGAATTGACCAAGTCATGCAGGCACTGATAACATTGCGATAGGACTCACTCATTCCTAAATAACGCATTGTCTTCTTGGAGAGGCCTGACGTAGACTGGGAAGGATTTTAAACTTCAGGAATTGGAAAAAGAGCACTGCTGCCCACCAAGGCTGTGACACAGGTCAGGACCCTGGAACGTGCCAACTGCAGCTTCTGAATGCGAGAGTCCACCAAAGCACGTCCACTTTCTCAGTAAATTGTTTCCTCCAAAACTAGTATCTAATTGTAAAAAGAAAGTGCTCTTTCTCTGCAGTGGCCACATAGCATGGGAACGTGTGGACAACAGCTGGCTGACACACACTACAATCCCAGGCCTGGCACTGACGCTGCCTTTGCCAGGATGCAGACCGCGGCACACCTGGCCTGTGCCTCTGGTGCACAAGATAAAAATGCTATGCCTCCTCCTCCCTGGCACCTCCTGGACACACCTGGGAGTTAAGGTGCTGCACTAACATCCTTCAGGACCCCAAGCCTGGCCCTAGGTAATGACTTTTGTGTTAACTTACTTCCAGCAGGTGTACAAAAACCTGCAGAGAGTTCACCCTTTTTCCTGTCCATGGGTGGGAACATACAAGCGATGTTTCATATGCATGTTAACTGCATACAAACATTCCCCACATGGAAGATATTCCTGTTCTCAAATCTATAACCAAAGGATGTATTTATACATTTAATAATTATTAAGACAAAATGCTACTGCTTAGAGCCATATTCTAAGAGAAAAAAAGTTATAGAAAACAATTAGAAATGAAGTACTCTATATTAAATCGATAAGAAATTTGATATTGCATAAAATTTGAACTATGAAGTAATCAAACACTTTGAAGTCCCTGATTTCACACCAAGGTGGTATAATTTGAATGGAAAACAAAATATCTTACAAGGTAAGTTCCACTAATGAAAGAACTCTTCTCTGGGAAGTGGGGTGGAGTGGGTGGAGGTGGGAATGAGTGATAGGAAAGGAGGGAAAGAGGAAAAAGAGTAATTGGCCTACTATGAACAGAATGAAATTAAGTTGAGGTAGTTTAGTCTACCAGCCAAACATTACGCATAGCATAATTTGTCTAAAACTCTTACCAGTGAACAGCATTGGGAATACTCTACTACAAAGACCAGATTCTCAACACAGATTTGCATTCTAAGACACATTTTCAAATTCTAAACAGTAGTAAACAAGACTTTGTGTGCTTTCAGACGGATTATATTAAAAAGGTTTTGATCCCTATGTATTTTATCTGAACAGTTTTTTTTAAAGTCATAGCAGACCCTTTAATATTTATCTGACTCAGATCTTTCCTTTATAAAATCTCCTATCCTTATAGTTATAAAATGGTTTGATCGATTGGAAAGGAAGAATGGCACTGCATGAGATCCTTCACAACTCTGAAAGTACTACCCCAGAAATTATGGCATGACATATCTAAAATGAGAGAAGTTAGCAACTTCCTTGAAGTTCACACAAGAGCTGTGACCTGACTAATCAATTTACTGGATCTTTACACGACTAAGACAAAACATCATGAGAGAGAAATTTTATCTCAGTTTCAATTCATCATAATACAGTCTTAAAAAGATTCTTAGGACAGAGCACTAGTAATAAATGGAGACTAACTGGCATTGAGTCCAATCTAACATTTTAGGCACAAATTCACTGGACAGGGTTAGGCATAATATATCCTTCCAAGTGCGGTAGAAAAGCAATCTTGGTATGCTTTTGGATGTGTTGATTTGCATATACGGATTTTCTGTTTGTTTACCAAAGCCACGTGCTGAATACAGCAGTCAGACAGGAGTTCCCTTCAGGGAAAACGTACCTTAGTGTTTTAACTTGGATACTTTACATCATACCAATTCCCACTCCCTTTTCCTTTTGATATAATTTACTAGCTCCACGGTTTACGGACACACCTCCTCGGAGGAGCTGATTCCTCCCAGGCAGTCTTTCAGCAGTGACACGGTCTCCAAACAAGAGCAGAAGCTCAAGCTCCTAAGCACTATAAGACCCCCGCGGAGTTACCATACCGCAGCCCAGCACACAGAGCAAGTTTAGCTGCATCTCTGCTCCCCTTTCCGTCCAGCTATGTGATGGTGCGCTCGGGGCAGGACCTTGCTTTCTGCTCTGCATCCTCCTCAAGGTGAATGAACACGAATTCGGAATAAGCCTTGCTGAAGCTGCAGGCGGAAAAGCTTGCAATTTGCAATACGTAAGGCCGCGCACCCTGTGCGGCGAAGGTCAGATGGAAGGAGCGGCTTTGTGTGGTGCCAGGTCCCCGTGCTTCTTTTAAACTCACGCACATAGTCGTAGTTGGTACCTAAACCATGAAAGTAAGCAAAGGTTAGACAATGCGCCTCTGATTCACCAGGAAACAGTTCCGGGAAAATTACTGTAGCATTCTAACCTGTATCAAGATCTCCGATAACATAGATACTGGCTCCTATGGGTACAGCTCCGTAGACAAAAGAGGAGCTGGCAGGGATGCACAAATTCTGGTCATTAAGATAGATCCACCTGCAGACAAAGCCAAAGGACAATATTAAGGAAAGAAAAGCGAGACCCTGATATTTAGAAAGACTAAGAGATGGGAAAACTTGGTGAGCCACCCACAGCACTGGGCACCACAGCAATCTCCACCCTCATGCTCCACCTCCAGGCGGCCACAGTTGCGCTTCCTGTCACTGCAGAGGGGAGCTCTGCCTGGGTGGAGGGTGGATGCCACTCCATGAGAAAACGCCCCCTCCCTTCCAAAGTGCACTGCATTATGCACTCCAGTTAGCGGCGTAGCGAGTCCTTGTGGGTTAGTATTATCATGTCAGTCTTTTAAAAATTTTAGCCATTTTAATGATGTGCATTTCCCCGAAGACCAGTGATGCCGAGCATCTCTGTATGTGCTTATTAGCCACTTCATGTATCTTCTTTTGTGAAATTTAAGTTCAAAGATTTGCTGATTTTTAAAATTGGGGTTACTATCTTTTTTTGAGTTGTAAGATCCTTTGTATTGAGTGAGTACAAGCCCCTTGTGAGATACGAGCATATCAATATTCTTCCCCTGCATGTGTGTGCCTTTTTCTTAGTGGAATCTTTTGAGAAACAGATGTTTTTAATTTGATATATATTTTTCTGCTTTTATGGTAATGTTTTTGGTGTCCTTCTAGAAAATATGTGCTTCCCCCAAGGTTTTATAGGTTTTTCTCCTATGCACTCTTCAGGAACTTTATGGATTTAGGCCCAGGATACATTTCAAATTCATTTTTACATACGGTACGAGTCTAAGTTCTCCTTTTTCCATTCAGATAGCTAACTATTCCAACGCCATTGCTAAAGGCTTCCTTTCCCCACTGAAACGTGCCTTGGCACCTCTGTTGAAAAATCAATTCAATAACCATTAAAAGATCGAGAGCTCCAGGAACTAGCGGTTGGTTCTGGGGCAGAGGCAGAAAGAACACAAGATGAGCCTGCAGCATCTATGATGCCAGAAAGAAAGTCCTTCAAAAAGGGGAAGGCACAGCATGAGGTGCGGGAGCTGGAGGGAGGAGCTCCCAAGCACCAACATGGAGCCCTTCGAGCAAGAAGAGAGAGCAGCAGGACTGGAGTAAAACACCTGTGCATCAGGACCAATATGAAGAACAGAAAAAGGGCTGGGGCCGTAGCTCAGAGGCAGAGCGCTCGCCTGGCATGCGTGAGGCACTGGGTTCGATCCTTAGCACCACATAGAGTACAATAAAGACATTATGTCGACCCATAACTAAAAAGTAATAATAAAAAAGAACGGGAAAATTTAAAAGTAGGAAGAAGGGGTAGGTTTCCTTTACAAAATTCCAATTGACAAACATAGAAGAAACAAGGAAAGCAACGTCCCCACTAGGCAGACACCACAGTGGCGACTGTGGCCCCATCTGCTGGGCCCCCATCAGCAGTCAGGGCTTACAGAGAAGCAGTGCACTTGCACCTTCTCAAAGGACCTCCTCCCAGACACTCACTAATCCCACTGGGAAAACAGTAACTCTCCAGAGAAGGAAGCCAGGGGACACCACCTCCACCTGCTGATCCAGGTCAAGGCATCTGGCAGTCAAGCACAGATATTTGTCTCCATCCCTTCAAAGAACGCAGTGTTACTTCTGTGGTGTTGCCAAAAGGCACAACCCCAGGCTAACCATGAGAAACCGTAAGTTCCTCTCAAACGAAGAGACATTCTAGGAAAAAACCTGACTGTTAATCTTTGGGAGTCTCAAGGTCAGAGCAGATGAGGAGACAGAGGAACGCAATGTCACAGCCTACAGGACCAAGGGAACGTGGTGACCAGATGCACATAGGATCCTGGACTGAATCCAGAGCAGAGGAGATGCCAGTGAAACACAGGTGAAGTTCCAGGAGCCTGGAGTTTAATCAGCACCGTGCAATGTAAACATCCCAGTCGTGACACTTGTACTCTGGTCACGGAGGATGTCAGCATTAGGAGAAGCAGAATGCAGGCTTGTGGGAACTCCAGGACTATTTCTGCCACTTCTCTACAAGTCTAAAACTATTCCAGAATGCAAGCTGTCTTTGCTTTCCTTTAAGAAAGTAAAACTAAGCAATTAGCCAAGCAATTTCCTGTTAAGAGCCGACAACATGCTGTCACAGTGAATGTCAGTAGGATCTCAGGACTTCAAGGGCTGCCAATGCCCAATTGGCCTCTGGTGCACACAGGTATGCAGGCATTGTTCCTGGCCTGGCTCACTATGCTGTGCCTGCACCTTAGGTTTACAGCACTTCCATACCAAATATCACTAAAATTATTGCATAAAGAGCATCACTTTTATGCAATGGATACTTTCCCCAGACTGTTACAATGTAGGTAGCTTCCATATTTTGAATTCCAAGAAACAAGGGTGCATAATGAATTGTCCAAGAGTGTACAATGAATTGTCCAAGATGGTAAACAACTCAGAAGTAAAGACAAGTGGTCAGATTCCTAAATATATGCTCATAACACTCGATTCATTTAACATCTGAATGCTGACTGGTGTCAGGTAGTTTGCTGGGGCTGAGAATACAGATTTTGGTCCTTACTTCTAAAATGCCTCCAATAAAAAGAAAAAAGGAAAAACTAAGAGCTCTCACTGAAAAGTAAAAAATAGAGATCCTGAATAAGCTTTTGAAAGAAAGAGTTTGAAAAATGTCAGACTATAATACTGGCTTACTCACATTTCACATCTTCAGGGGTAAACATTATTATGCCTCTTCATTTAAGTTCCTCTCAGTTTCTGAATCAAAGCTGATGAGTACCACTGTGCCTTGTGCTCAGCTGAGCCAGACTGCCAGGACACCCTTACAGTCCTCTTCTGGGCAGAGCTGTGGGCAGGGCCTGTCTTCTCACAGGATGAGCAGCACTCCCCAGCAAGGACACATGGGACCCTGGAGCACAGTGAGGCTCCCCGGAAATTTTGTTGACTGAGAATGTAACAAGATTCATTCTTGGAATAATGGTATGAAGCTGAAGAAACTGGCCTATGTGGATGATCTACTCAATTTGGTCCTCAGCATATCAATGATACAGAATTCCTAGCTTCAAAAAACAAAAAACAAACAAACAAAAATAAGCCTAGGGGATTGAGGTTATGTAATGCAATGCAGAGGCTTCAAGTGAAATGGAACTTGGAAATTTCACTGGATCACATATTGAGCTGCTGCTGCTCATAAGCAGGTAGGAAGGTTTAGAACATTGTCACTTCAATGTCCTTGGAAATGCTGCTACCTGAACCACTACTTCCTCTTCTGTAAAGCAGGCACCTGAAATGCCTGCTGTGGAGCAAAATGAGCACCTGCATGGTGTCCAGGACGCTTCAGAGGTTACCATTAGAGTCACTTCTATGAGGAACAAGGCAACACCATGCATTCACGGCCACCCTCTCAAACATGGGCTATCAGTACATGGAGGCCATGATGACAGGTCCTTTGACGACTCAGAATTAAGATTGCCCCTGAGAATGACACTTTAAAATACAGAATGGACTGCAGCAGTGAGCTTTGGAGAGGCAAAGAACAGCAAAGAGATCTGGGGGAGAAGAGAGAGGAGAGAAAAGCAAGCTTTTATGAGGTGAGGTGTCTGCTGTTTTTTTTTTTTTTTTTGGTGAGGGGGTACCAGGGATTGAACTCAGGGGCACTCGGCCATTGAGCCACATCCCAGCCCTATTTTGTATTTTATTTACAGACAGGGTCTCACTGAGTTGCTTGGCACCTTAGTTTTGCTGAGGCTAACTTTGAACTCATGATCCTCTGCCTCAGCCTCCTGAGCCGCTGGGATTACAGGTGGGCACCACTGTGCCCGGCTGATGTCTGCTTCTTGACCAAGTGCTGCTGTAAGTATCAGCTAAATCTCTGGATAAAACACAAAACACAGCTACCAGAGGGCTCTGGTTTGGGGAAGAAAATGAAAGTTGAGTGAGCAACCCCCGTGAAGTGAATTTCCTGTTCCTTTGTAGTTTTCTCTAAAGGCAGTGTGAATGAAGGTGCCACCATTGGGTAGCTGAAACTGGCCACCTCTCTGGCTATAGGAATTGGGAATGGGGGTCAGGAGCCCTGGAGTGAAGGGAAGACCCCAGAAAGGACAGGCATGGAGGAAGCCTTCATGGAGAGCATCCGCTCATTTCAAGTCTTTTGCCAAGTCTGGGGGACCACATGTGCCTGTAACTGAGGCTTCAAGAATTGAAATGAGAGCTGAGGTACCACCCACCACAGGTATGGCAGCCTGCGTTGGAGTCTGACCATGTTAACTGCCTCCTGAGACTTTCAGTGCCACACTCAGGGCCTCAACAACATAACTAACAATGTCCAGGATGCAATCCAGAATTACTCAACAAAAGAAGAGTTAGAAAAAGGAGAAGCCAATCTCAAGGGAATAAACAATCAACAGACGCCAACTCTGAGATGACTCAGACGCTGGGATTGTCAGGCAGAGAGCTGAAGGCAGCTACCATGAGCACGCTCAGTGAGGGGAAGGAAAGAGGCTTGTGATGGAGAGACAGCAATTTCAGAACACAAAGAACGAAAAGAAAAACAAAAAAACAACCAACCAACCAACACTAATAACAAACTGCACAAAGATTTTAGAATTGAAAAGATAATATTTGAAATAAAAATATGCTGGATGGTCCTAACCACAGGCTGGAGAGAGCAAAGGAAAGCAACAGCAGGCTGAGGACCGAGCAGCAGAAATCCTCCAACCTGATGAAGGGGAAAGAAAACGTTTCACAACGAGTGAAATGAAGAGAAAAGGTAATCCAAACAGCTGGGCGCAGCTAGAGTGGAGCTGCGTGGGAACCTGAAGCCTCAGACCTGCACATGAGGAGCACACGGGGCCGCCACAGTGACCTGGACAGGAAGGCCAAAAGAAAGCTGCAGACAGTTAGAGCTGGGGATCACTCGGGTGGCAGTGGTTGGTGACAGCTTGAGCTAGGATGAGATGCGACGACAGTGTAGAAACCAAAGGGACAGAATGGAGCCAAACCAGCAGCTGGCTCTGTCCACAGAAGGTGGGGACAGAGGGCGCTCCGCCTCCTGCTGCAGGGCCGTGTGCAGGCCAGCGTCCACTTCCCTTGAGCTCCCCTGGCACCCGCACCCTAGTGCTCTGCTTACAGGGAGCACAGCACACTCCCCCGGTGGGACAATCTCAGTCTCGAGGGCTGGGAGGACTCTTTCCAATTTGTTCCTTCCTTGGATCCTCCCCTTGGCCCTAAAGTAGTAGCTGTGCTTCTTACATCAGCTATTTATGCATTCTTTTTTCATTTTTTTTTGTGCTGGGGAAGTGGATCCAGGGCGCTGGGGCCTTGTGCATGCTAAGGATATGCTCCATCACTGAGCTGTACCCTGAGCCCCCATTTGTGCATTATTTCAAGTCTTCCTTCATCTCTTGTAGCAGTTGATCTTTCATACTAGTTAATAATCAAGTATATTACATTTTCCCTGTTCAGATGACAGGTGTGCCTTCTGTCTCCTGACTGGATTCTTGGTGGAATTTTTTGGTCAAGAGTGGGGTTCAGCTCCTATTCTCCAGTTTACATGCCTTCTGGAGGCGCCTGAAGTACTGCGGCTCCCAGCAGCAAGCTCTGATGAACAGGGCAGAAAACGTGATGTTCTGTGTGACACAGAGGTGATCGAATCTTGTGCACTCCTACGCAGCAGAGACAGGACTGACCTGGACCTGGGGTGAAACATGCAGGTTAACTGTCGGCCCCTCCAGATAAAAGCAGATGGCTTCTGATGAGCCCTGAAAATTGGTCAGATTTAAAAACACTGGCTAGGCCAATAGCTGCAGGGCCAAGGCCCGGGACCATGCTGCATAAAGACACAACCTGTGTGTACAGGTACTACATCTGGATGGCATCTGTGATCAGCGTAGCCACCTGACTGAAGTTTATGACGTTGCAGTCATTTTCCAAGATCCACCTGTCATGTCTACTTTTCCTAATTGGATTACATAGGGCTGTGAAAGCTATCATCATGCCTGCATTTTCAAGTTTTTGATGGTGACATAATCTGTCAATTTCCCTAGGATACATGTTACTTCTGGTTTTCTATGTTGGTAGGAAATCAGAGTTCCAGGGTTCTACTCAGCATTTCCTGCCACAATGGCCCCTAATCCCTGGATCAGAAACCAACATGAGATTCTTCCTGGTGTCACGCATACCTATTCCAATCATGCATTCTGGGATGAAAAGGTGAAACCGACAGGTCTGAGCTTCAAGTTAACCTGATACACAAAACTGAAATGAAAATGAAAGGAGGGTGAGCAAATGCATAGAGGTAGTTGGAGGAAGTGAAAAGGACGTCTTCCTGTGGACGAAGAAGACTGGTGACCTCCTCACCTTGGATCAGAGGACGCCGAGGAGGCCGAGTACTGTTATGTGGATGTGGTAAGTAATGGGAAAGCGTGAAGAGGTCTGAGCAGGGGGATGAGATGGCCCGGGCTTTTGTCCAAGTCAAGAGGCAGAGGCTGGGCATTCGCCAGGGCTGCCCTGAGGCTGAGGACACTGCGCATGGAGGTGTGTGTGAGAAAGCTTCCAGATCCCAGGAAAGACAAGACGGGGCAATTGATGACATGGCGGCACAAGAGCGATCAAAGAGGACCCTTTGAGTACGGATAGCTGGGAGGATGGCAGTATTATTAACAGAACAGGATGCAGGATCAGGAAGAGAAAGTCTCGCCCTGGCTGAATGGTTAACTAGGACTTGGGAATAACTTACGGTGATTTCTTTGCTTTCCTTCTATCAGTGTTGTTTTTATTCAGAAACACAGAAAATAATAAGATACGGCATTTTGCCAGGAAAGTTTTTACCTAAAAATATGAAACAAAGACAGGAAAGTCAAGAGATTACTTAAAAACAATCTAAATGGTCCCCAAACTAATACAGATTGCTCAACTGGCACTAATTTCCACAATATGCAATTAGAACGTGCTTGGTAACATCCAATCTATTAAGAAATGAATGACTCCTATATGTTATTTGTCTATAGATATTTAAGAAAAAGCCTTTTTTTTTTTTTTTTTTTGGTGTGGTGCTGGGGATTGAGCCCAGGACCTTGTGTATGTAAGGCAAGCACTCTACCAACTGAGCTATATCCCCAGCCCCATGAGCTATATCCCCAGCCCCAAAGTCTGTATTTTTTAAGCCAATAGAGCGGAGTCATGCAAAGGAAGACTCTAGAGCCAGCACACCTGAGTCTGAATTTCCTCTCTGTGCTCTGGTTTCCTTATGTAAAATAGGGCTGATTACAAAATCTACACCTCAGAGGACTGTTCTTAAATCCAGTGACTTAAGTGACTCATACTTGGTGGCACCATCACATACATGCTTAGTGTCATCTAAACATGGGAGAATCCTTTGTACTATGTTGACAAGAGCACTTAGCTCTCTTTATTCTATTTACAAATGAACTTAACAGCCTAGAAATATGGAAGATGAAGATACAGAATCTTTTTTTTTTTTTTTTTTTTAGTACAAGGGATCAAACTCAGAGGTGCTTAACAACTGAGGCACATCCCCAGCCCTTTTTTACCTTTTATTTTGGGATAGGGTCTTGCTAAGCTGCTCAGGGCTTTGCTAAGTTGTTGAGGGTGACCTGAAACTTGCCATCCTTCTGCCTCAACCTCCTGAGCCACGGGGATTCTAGGTGTGGGCTGCAGTGCCCAACAAGATGTTCATCAACCATAAACATGAAACAGATTGACAGATTGAATCATAAAGGTCCCAGCAGTTTATGGCAAACCAAGTGGCAGGATGAAAAACTTCATAATGAGCACAGGGGCAGAAAGTGGCCAAATGAGAAACTTCATAATGAGCACAGGGGCATAAAGTGGCCAAACATAAGCAGCAGTCATGCTTCATGCTGTCTGAGCAGTAATCCAGTCAAAAATAGCTTTACACCAACGCTTTATCAAAAACCAAACACACTGCTACTGCTTGTTAATGCAGCTGGGTGGACTGTCTCGAGACTGACTGGGGCAGGAAATTAATAGCCTACTTCCTACCCTGGCAGTCAGCCGCATAGTACCTTCAGGAAGGAGCAGTGGAGCTTTCAAGTTCTTTGCCCACTTCCACTTAACAAACATTTCTGAACCCTCTCACACTTGGAGTCTCCTGACAGTCTACCCCTACAATTGGAAACAAAAAAGGCTATGAAAATATCCTAAGTTTAAAGCACACTAAAAATTAGGGAACATTTATATGTATTTCTAACATTTGGGATCTATTCATTGTTTGCCCTTTTGTAAAATAATAAGAAATGAAACATTATATTATAGCACCCTCTTCTGGTAATGACTGAGATTACATTCAGTGCAACGGTGTCCCCTGAAAATCTGAAGGTACCACTGCAGTAAGAGCACAGCATTGCCATGGTTACAACAGAATATGTGAAAGGAGGGGAGAGGAGGAAGTCTGGAAAAGATGCTTTTGCTCTACGAGATGCACATGGCACCTGGCCAGACATCGTAAGAACCTCAATGCCACATTTCATCTACTATTCGACATCTGAAGGAGTGTGACACAGGCCAGGCCTGATGCTGGAAGCCTGGATGCACAGCTGACTAGGTGGGACCTTGCTCTGAAGGTGTTCATGATTGGTAGTTACAAACTCAGAGAGATGTGCACAGAGACCAGGGGATCACTGACTGAGGGACCCAATTCGACTGGAAGATGGGGTGCAGCTTTCCCCAGGCAGCGACATAAGCATCGTTTGGAAAAGGTCAGACAAAATGAACAGTGGGAAGGGATATTTTAAGCCAAAGGAGAGGCATACATGTTTCGGGGGGAAAAGTGTGAAACAACTGGGTTGGACTGTAGCAGAAAAAGCAGACAAAGGCCGATTATGCCAAGTCGAGAAGTTTAAACCTTTTCCTAAAAGGTACTGGAAGCCAGTAAATTATTCTAAGCAACCAAATGTCAAGATCTGGTCTACATTTTAGAGACTCGTTTCCATGGTTTCCACTGAGTTACCAATACTTCTGAAGTCACTAAATAAATGTCTTTGATCATATCTCTTAAAGAGACAACACAATGAAGTAACCTGAAATCAAAACTAAACACAGTTGAAACATGCTTTTAACAGTGTAAAGTAAAAGCTACAGAAGCTACACGAAGCTGTTTGCAATCACCTTTTAAACTCATCATGGTAGAACTCGGATTTGCAGGTGACCATCTCACCACCCTGGATGTCCTCACGACTTCGGACTCCCCCAAACACGTACAGCTCCATGGCGACTCCACAGGCCACGGCTCCAAACCTAAAAGGCCACACAGCACAGCCAGCATGAGTCACGGCTGAAGACCCAAGTCCCAGAGCCTCTAGCGCTTGCTATAACTGCAGTAGCCAGCATTTCACGCACTTGAGGGCCTTCCTTTCTAGGAAGTGTCAGTCAAATAAAAGGTCACTTTGAAAGAAAGAGGAAGAAGAGTTGGGTAAGGGCTTCAGACCAGAAAGGGAGTCTGCATTCACAGTCACTCACCTCCTCTCTTTCAGTGGACATATAGCAGTCCACTGCTGGGTCCTCGGGTCATAGCATTCCACAGATTCAAACAGTTTTCCATATGATCCTCCACCCATGGCATAGATTTTCTTTTTCATAGCTGCATAGCAGCCAATCTGAAAAAAAAAAATAAAATGATATGGACAGATGAATAGACAGTAACTCATCCAGAAACCAATTTATCACATAAAGGATTGATTTCTAACAGTAAAACTACAGTGCTTTTCTTTTTTTTTTTAAATTTTTTTTTTAGTTGTTGATGGACCTTTATTTTATTTGCTTATTTAGATGTGGTGCTGGGAATCGAACTCAGTGCCTCACACGTACGAGGCAAGCACTCTACCCCTGAGCTACAACTCCAGGCCCCTACAGTGCTTTTCAATGACACCACAGGACTCAAAAATGAGAAGAGCAAGGGAATACACATGTTGTGAATCCCAGAGGAGGAGTTCTTCTGCATCCTAAGTCAATAGTCCTATTTTCTAAAAGCTCTCCCAGGCTGGGGGTCTAGCTTAGTGGTACAGCACTTGCCTAGTGTACACAAGGCTCTGGGTTTAACCCTCAATATTGCAAAGAAAAAAAAAAAAAAAGCTCTGGTCTCTATTCTTTTACCAATATTTGAAGATCCCAAGATACAGATTTCACAAAACAATAAGTCATTTAATTCCTATCTAAATAGCTCAGCTGAAAGGGCACAAAGCATGTCTCTGTACCTAAAGATGTAAAATACCTATGATAACGCATGAAGCTTAGGCTTGATGGCTACTCTATGCCCACAACAGGACTATAAAAAAAGATGGGCTTTGCTCTAAACATCTATGTAAGCCATTTGCTTTCATCTGTTTACTGACTAATGTTTCTCCCCCATCTTGAACAGTGATTAAGGAACAGGTGGGGATATCTGGCTGTTACCTAGGTTAGTGCACACACATGGTACCATCAACAGACTTGTACCCAGCAGTGCCACCTCCTGCCCCAGAGTCAACTCTCAGGCACGCCCTCTTTCCTATCTTGGCATGTAGCTGTTGACAGGTACGGGAAGCTACTAATAAAGACAGAACTCGGGGCTGTGGCTGTGGCTCAGCGGTGGAGTGCTTGCCCAGCACGTGCGAGGCGCTGGTTTAGATCCTTAGCACCATATAAAAAAAAAAATAAATAAATAAAATAAAAATGTTTTCTCCCAACATAAAATAAAAAAAAAGGACGAACTCCTATCATTTTAAATCTTTAAGTACTCTGAGTTATATTAAAGGCATACTAAAGAAATAAATGAACAGACTAGTTATCACAAGCTATTGTCCTCACCTTCCTAACCATGGTCAAATCAGGTTGCTTCGTCCAGGTTTTAGAGTAAATGTCGTAGCACTCCATGGAAATCAGCTCCTTCTCACCGTCCTCCCCTCCCAGAATGTACAGCATCCCATCAATCTCCACAATTCCAAAGTTGTGTCTTGCCTGAAAACACATCAAAGATCTTCGTATGTAAAAGCGGATACTTGGTATTTGATACAGATTGGGGATATCATTTTATTGCAGTGTTCCAGCAAAAAGGGGTCCAAAACCACTTCTCCTAATGTATCTTATTTCTGGCTTCACTAGCACTCGCCCTTCCAGCACAATAAAGAACCCCAAACCAGGCATTTTTCAGAACAAGGGAATAAAATGTGGTGAATTCACTGGCACAACCATTACTTTTTAACTCACAGCAAGAAAAAAGAATAGGTAATAATGGGTTTCACAGATTGTTTTTGCATAGCAATGGGCCGTGGGTTTCCAAGTGGAGGAGTGAGACACAAAAGGGCCATAACTGTGTAGACTCTCCACGGGAGGGGCAGTGGGGAGGACTGGGCTGCTGAGGTCTGGGAGTGGCTGAAGCCCTGGTGTTGGCCATTCATCCAGCCACCACCTCAGAGCCCCATGTGCTGAGCCCTGCTCTAGCAGGAAGGTAAATCGGGACAGAAGGAATTTCCAGCCATCAAAGAGCCTCCAGAAGGATTAGGAAAGACCTTATGTGTGAGAGAAGAGGCAGGAGGAAACCCCCTGAAAAGTGAGGACACAGCAAAGGACTGAGGGAGGGGAGGAGCAGGCCATGCAGTCTCAAGGGAGGTTCAGACAAGGAGGGACAAACAACACAAGGGCCCAGGGTAAGAGCAGGGGAGGCCTGAGCAGGAAGGAGAGAGGCAGGGCAAGGGGGTCGTGAGCACACAGGCGGGGCCTAGGCAGGGCTGCCTCTTCTTTTCCTAGACACTGGGACACTAAGCCAGCAAGAGGACCCAGGGGAAGAGGAAACCCATCACAGGAAACACATGTGGGGTACCTCATTCATAGGTGGCAATGCAGTCCATGTATTTGCGTCTGGGTCGTACTTTTCTCCTGAGCTCAGGGTCTGCTTATTTTCATCTTGGCCCCCGAACACAAACAAAAATCCCTCTGCAAGAATCACAGGACAAATATAAGTCACCCAAAATGCACGTCCTCCAGCACGTCAAGCTCCACAGGGTGGAGCAGCATCTAGAGACCTTCTTCAGCCACCATAGTTTTGTTCTTGGACTCGGACCTTTTCCCCTTGGTGACAGAGCTGAGTTTGTGAGTCATTCTGACCACTCTGCTTTACTCATTAGTATCTTTGAGGGGACTCCCACCCCTAAGGTGAGAAGCCAGGCTGACACCACCTCTTCAGTCACCAGGCAGCTCCAGATCATCTCAGTTCACCTACTTTATTCCTGGTTCTGACTCTCATGCAACTTCTGACCCAAAGGCCACACCTGCCTTCAAGACCCCTGGGACCCTCAGAGCTGAGCACCAGTGTGCCCTCTGTATTCAAAACAGGATCCAAGAGTAATTATGGAACTTCTATGAAAGGTGGATTAGATATTCTTCTTCAAAAAAAATCTACATTGTTGGATAAAACACTTAAAAGCCAACAAAACAAAAAAGGAAAAACTGAAGGAAGAAGCAGAACCTCTAGAGTGGTCACCAGGCAAGGAACCAACTTGCTTCCAAGGCATTTCCCACTCTGAGGAATTTGCACTTTTGTCATGGGGATGAGAAGAGAGAAATCTAAGCCAGAGGCCCACAAAAAGATCTGGTTTCTGGCAAGAAATCCTCTTCAAAGTTCTATTCTCTCAGGATGCAGGTCAGTCAGAATTGGGCTCAGATTTAAACCCCCTTGCTTGCCTAGGAGACCTCCAGCCTTGAACTCTATTTACAGTAATACCAAATTAGTGGTGTTCTTAGGCAACGGGCAGAATCAAATGCAAAAATTCCATAGAAGAAAGTACTTTCATCTAAGCTTTAGACTATTAGCATTCTAGAACTTCAAAACATCAATTATTCATACAAATAATTATTAATAAAAATACCAGCATCTAGTCAAAGATATTCAGACATAACAAGAAATTAAGGTCTACAAAAAACAAAAAGAGCAGAAGCAGAAGTCGGGAAATACAAATTCCAAATATTGGAGTACTCAGAAAAATGATAAAATAACAATGCTTATCATGCTTCAAAAATGAAATTTGAAGATAACTCTAGGAAACCTGGAACTGTAGAAACAACAGCAGGTTTCAGATAGGCGAAGAGCTGCACCAAGAGGAAGCTGAGTGTCTCTTCCCAGCCACTGACTGCCGGAAACTCACTCAAGTGGACGATGAACACAAATTCCACACTTTTTTTTTTTTAGAGAGAGAAATTTTTTTTTAAAATATTTATTTATTTTTTTAGTTTTTTCGGCGGGCACAATATCTTTGTTTGTATGTGGTGCTGAGGATCGAACCTAGGCCGCATGCATGCCAGGCGAGTGCGCTACCGCTTGAGCCACATCCCCAGCCCAATTCCACACTTTTTATAAGAAGCAGCGTGTGGCCACAGAAGTTGCTGCTGACGCTCTGGGTGAAGAATGGAAGGGTTATGTGACCCGAATCAGTGGCAGGAATGACAAACAAGGTTTGTCCATGAAGTGGGTATCTTGACCCATGCTACTGAGTAAGGAGCATGCATGGGATAGACCTAGGCAAACTGGAGAGAGAAAGCCCAAAGCTGTTCAAGGTTGTGTCACGGATGCCAATGTGAGTGTTTTCAACTTGGTTATTATTAAAAAAAAAAAAAAAAAGGAGAGGAGGATATTCCTGGATTCTCGGATACTACTGTGCCTCATCGACTGGGACCCAAAAGAGATAGTAGAATCCGCAAACTGTACAAGCTCTCTAAGGAAGATGATGTTCACCAATGTGTTGTAAGGAAACCCTTAAATGAGGAAGGCAAAAAACCCAGGACCAAAGCACTGAAGATTCAGTGCCTCGCTGCTCCATGTGTCCAACCCAAGCACAGGCACTTCGCCCTGAAGAAACAACACACTACAAAGAACAGGGAAGAGGATGCAGAATATGCCAAACTTCTGACAAGAGAATGAAATAAGCCAAAGAAAAACCCCAGGAAGAGACTGCCAAGAGGTGCAGGCTGCCATTCTGAGAGCTTCTACTTCTAGGTCCGAGTCCAGACAAAAAGAAGAATTTTTAAGAGTAACAAATAAATAAGATCGGATCTTTAAAAAAGAGAAAAAAAATGACAGCAGATTTCAAAAAGATTTAAAGAGAAATTCTAGAAATAAAACAATGAGTGGATTAATAGATTCATCAATGATAAGGAGAAAACTCAATGTACAAAAACAAATCAAAAGCGACTGTCAAGAGGGCTACAAGGATGAAAAGATGAAAATAACAAGAAGACAGGAGGTAAGGATGGAGTTAAAGTCTGTGCAGTGTGGAATGTGACTTCCAAAAGTAGAGGAGGAGTGGAGAATGGAGCATAGGCAACGTGCAGACAAAACGGACAAGAATTCCAAGAACTGGTGAAAAGTCACGCTACAGAGTCAAAAGGGCCAACAATTCCCAAATGTGATTCAATTTTAAGTCTCTCTCTCTCTCCCTCTCCCTCTCTCTCTCTCTCTCACACACACACACACCAATGAAATGGCAGGAAAAAGAAAAAAGAAGGCAGGGCAAGGAAGGGTTAATTCTGGGAAGACGGAGAAGAAAAGATTTTTAGATTTGACAACTGACTTAAATCAGAGGAAAGACACCTCAAATGGGCTGAAAAATAATATCAACCTAAAATTCTATACCCAGCAAAAATATTCTTTAAGAATGAAGGCAAAATAATGACATTTGCAGACATATACATCTGAGAGTTTTCCATAAAAAGACCTGCTCTAAAGGAAATTCAAAAGGATGAATGTCAGAGAGAAGGAAAATGATTCTAGTTGGAAAACTTAGTGCATTAGAAGGAAGAACAAAGTAAACTTTCTATCTGTCCAGCAATCCATCCAAAAAACAGATTAAAAAAACATATATTACATACATAGGTATTAAAAATCATGTATTTTAGCATACTTTACACTCTGATAACTTAAAGACACAGGCTTTAATATCTAATGTAAGTTCCCCAAAGGAATGCAAAAAAGAATGTAACTTCCAAACTAGTAGAGAAGAAAAACTGAATGATGAATAACAGTCCAAACTAATTTTTTTAAAAAAGTTAAAAAAAAAAAAAAAAGAAAAATAGAGTAGACTGGGGCAAGAGAAAGGACTTTTTTTTTTATTTTTTAATTTACTTTTTTTCATATCTCTGGTTGTATACAAACTATATTCACACCAATTAGTGTCTTCATACGTGTACTTTGGATAATAATGATCATCACATTCCATCATCATTTCTAACCCCATGCCCCCTCCCTTCCCCTCCAACCCTTCTGCCCTATCAAGAAAAGAGAAAGGACTATTCAATCATTTTAGCTTCAGTCAATAAAACTGTCCATAATCACTCTTTACATTGTTTGGTGTCTGAAATACCAACCCACCCAGAAAATCTGCAAAACCTGGTGATCCAGGAACCTCTGTGATGGGGGTGTATGAGTGCAAAGTAGGAGTGTACCTACCGTATGATGGGGAAAGTTTGATGGAGTTAATTCTGGGAAGGCAGGAAAACTAGATTCTCATCCTGTCAAATGCACTACTCTATCCAACTCTTTATTGTTTACAATAACTCCTAAAATGTTGAGAGTCATAAAAAGATTTCTATAAAACTGCATAGTGATGACCATTTTTATGACACGGTATGGCATACCTTTAAACATTTTAAAGGTAATGCTAGTGGGCAAGCAGAAACATGTAATAATTCCAGGAGGATGGCCAACAATCACTAGAATGATGGGAAATGGCACTTGCTGGGTGAACTCAGGGTCTAAGGAGAAGAGAAAGGCAACCAAGCACGGCAGAGCAGCAGTCACAATCCTTCCTGTCACCTCCTGAAGTAGGAGCTTTGAGTAATGGTGAAGCAATTTTCAAACTTGTAAACATCAAGTAAAACATACTCTCCATAGTAAAATAATTTTGAGCCACTGCTAATTTAAGTAATATATTCTAAAGTCTCATAGGAATTCCACACAGCATGAATTCTGAAGATGGGAATATATGGCTCAAGAAAATACCAGGACCATGGATGGCTGCACAGCTAATCAGGGCAGCCTCTTTCTTAGTGACACCACCTAGTCAGTGTCTCTCCACCTTACAGATGATTGTGTACTGACACTTGGAAACAACGAGGACTGACATAGATGCTCTTCTCTCAACCATGGCCTTGAAAGCTGGACCCACACTGACAATATCATCATGTAGAGACAATAAAATTACATCTTCAAAGGTTTTAGTCATTCCGCTTGACCCTGAAATTATCTATCACTGGTCATGTGTTCAACTAAAACTGACTACAGGATGTTACCTGCTGAGAGAACTCCGTGGTTAATTCTCGGCATGCTCAAAGGTGCCAGTTCAATCCAAAGCTGCCTGTTAGGGTCATAAAGAGGACACATGCATCGCATCGCGGCCGTTGGTTTCCGGGAACTAAGGAAATAAATAATTGATTAGCAGTTAATGTTTTATGTAGTTCTGCTTACAAAAACCATTACTAGCTTTAGTACTCTATAGAATGTTTAAAACATTAAACCATCAATTGCTATTACGCTTTAGAAACTGAAAAATATTCTGAATTCTTGTTTACATAGAACTATTTCTTCCTTTATCCCACCTTTCAAACACCTTGCACCCAAACTTACACTCTTTCCTCCCCGCCCACAGTCACGATGCACTCTGAGTAACCCCGGGGCTTGAAGTTGGCCAGCATTGCCTCTCCCTGCTGCGGCTGGCTGAGCGGAATATTGCTGCACTCTTTGACAATTTCTCGTACTAATGGTTCATTCAGCATCTGTTCCCGTAAATAACTAGAGTCCAAGCCTGAAACCCAGAGTGCTGACATGACATCCTTCATGTGGACCTGCAGAGGGAGAGAAAGGATGGGATTAGCCTTGGAGAGCAGGAGGGGCTCCAGAGCACATGTCCTCCAACTTGTAGAAAACTGTCAACAGCCCCGCTACTAACAGGCAAGGTATCAGGGCCAGGACGGCTTGAATGTGTGCTCACCCCTTTCCTTCCTGCTTCCCAGAGCCTCAGGAATAAAAGCTAAAAATTTTAAAACCATCTGTTCATATTTATATTTGAGGATCAGTGCAAAGTTTCAAGCAGCAGCTTTTTTACATCTACGGGGTTTCTCTTCCAATAAGTAAACAGAGTAAAAAAGGACTATAATTTGCTTTATACCAACATATTTGGATGTGCTGGGAGTTCACATTTACATAGGTAATATATATGATATTGTATGGTAAATTTAGATAATGTCTCATTGTTGATAAGAAAAATATAGAAAAGCCCAAAGTAAAAAAATTCTGAGTACTGTATTCCTTAGTAATCGCTGTTCAAAATTAACTAACACATATAAGATGATTATATGCTTCTGCTGCTCTACACTGAACCAATTACTGCACTCCACCTAGGTAAGACGAAACACTGTAAACGACTTGGTTAATCGGTATATTTAGAGATTTTTCTTGGGTTTCAAGTAGTCATGTTAAGGTATACTCTCCTGTACTCAGAGTAATAAAAGCCAAGAGTATGGGATCAAGTTCAGATTAACAAAGGGCAAAGAATTGTCTCGTTTCCCTAGTAACCAGTCACCTTAAGTATTCTCACCCCTCTGAGGCAAGAGGTTCCAGCAGAAGCTGGAGAGGAGTAGTCTCTCCTGTGGTGGCCTCCATGAGCGGGCAGGTGGATACTCTGCTATCTCCTCTTCTAATTTACCTGATTAACGTGGAAAAAAGAACACTACTGTGTCCTGACTAAAACTAACAAAAGACTATACACAGGATTCCTCAATATACTCACTCATAGGTTTATGGTGTTTAAAAAATTATATGATAATCATTAAAACTTAGGTTAATAGTTTCTAAGAACAATCAACAGTGCAACTGTACATTTTTGAAATCTACTCTCTAAAACCAACCTAATACATTTCTTATTTTAAAATGAGTAATTGGAGCTAGTTTCTTATTTATAAAGAGCAGACTGGAAATGAAGTCCTGTGCTTTTGCTCCTTCCCACAGTGTGCTTCTGATTTGGATCTGAGCCTTGATATTCTCTAGGAACCTCTTCCCCAAGCCACCACTCCCAGAACCTTGCCTGTGTGTGGAACCACATGGCTACACAAACTTCAGAGCCCACCTGCTTCCTCCCCACCCAGTGCCAATCTCTCCAGGGAGAACCCATCGTGCTCCTGAGGCATGCCTATCACCTCTCTGCTGGACTTCACGTGCCTGCTGAGGGCACCTGGGGGACAGGGTACACCCAGCGATGCAGCAGGCAGGCGGGGTGCCAAGAGCATGGGGAGAGACAAGGCAGTTCTGCAACCTCCCGCTTAGTTTGGAAGTGCACTTTGCCATTAAAAGCAAGGCAGGACAGATGGTATGCTTCCTCCCAGGTCCATCATCCCCGCGGATACAGACTGGGGTAAAAGGCCCATCGCTTTAGTGTCAGATGGAAGGTGTCTTACAAATACCTTTTAGGTCACAACCTGGTAAATCTTTCAAATTGAAAAAGACAAAACAACTACAATTTGAATTTAAAGCAAATAAAAATGCAACCTGAGACCATGCTGTCAGCGACAGATACCTTTCTTATTTCTGTGTCATGGGCTATCCACCGAATCACTGCTTCAAACACGTATCTTTCATTGCCCACATTCAACTTCTCAAGAGAAATCACTTCTTTGAGCTTCTGAGGACTCAGCTCCAGGAACTCTTCTGTGCTGCTGACGTCCCGGAAGTGAGTCTCCAGGTACTCCGTGGCAAGGTAATGGACGTGGTGCAGGCAGTAGTGCAGGGCAAAGTCTCGGATGCCGATGCAGTTCTCGGCAGCGATGCAGCCTTCCAAGAACTCACAGCACAGGGTCTTCAGGTCCGTCAGCAGCAGCAGGTCTGCTGCCTGCACAACATCCTGGATTGTGTCTTCGTTCAGCCTGATCTGAAAGAGGGTCACAGCATTTGATATCTGAATGTAGGTATTTAGGACCCAAACCACTCATCTACTAGCTAAACCACACGAAGTCTCCACTTCTCAGGCCAAAAACGAGGGAATATTTGAGGTGCCAGGCACCTCCATCAAGAGGTCACCCTTGTGCCAATGCGAGCGGATGTGTGCGTGCCTCAGTCGCCATAGTCTTCCCCTGCTACATCCATGTGAACTCCCCAGCCCTGCCGAAGTGACGATCTGCCTCACTTCTGCAGCTCAGAGGAAGCTTCAGAGTGGAAATGTTTAGGACACAGCGTGGTTTCTTTAAATCCTAGCACCAGAGATGCTGAAAATCTTGCCTCTGACTATATGGGTTTTCTCTTTTGCCAAGTGGTATGCCCAGCTGAATGCAGGCCCTGAAGGAGAGCTTTCGACCCCTCAGCAGCCCCATTCTGAATACCAAAACACCATGGAGCAACCAAAACAATTTGGTCTTGAAAATACCTTTTGGGATAAATTCCTAGTATAAGGTTGTTTTTTCTCATTGTGAAAGTTTACTTTTCCTTTGTTTTATTCAGTGTAGAAATATGGCCACTATAATACTGCCACAATCACGGGTGAAGTCCCCAAGTGAGGGTGCTTTCCTACGTTCAGAAATGTCAAGGAAAGAATTCAAAGAGCATAGCAAGAAACACCTTGTTCTATGAGACAGCAGAGAGCTATCAAATATAGGCATGTGGAAAAAAAACAAAAACAAAAGCACTACCTCTTAATAAGACCAAACTGACAATTCAGGAGTTTGTTATAATTTATACTGCCACCATGGTTTTACAATTAAAATAGGAATGAACCACAGAAGTTAATCTGAAAATACAGTCTCTCGTCTGGGGTCCAACCCTGAGCACACGTGCTCTCCCTGGCCAGTGATGTGCGGCGATGCTGACTCCAAGTAGACAAGGGGCTGGCCACAGGCCTGGTCTGCAGTGCTACAATCTCTCAGGATTTTAAGGGCTGACCCCAAGTTATTTTAACTCTGTTCACTTTGAGCAATCACACACATACATGCCCGCTGCTGTGTTTAGAGAAAAGAGGAGGGAATACTATGGATCACCACACACCTTCAGGATGAGAGTCCTGAGTGCGGCTCTGGACAGAGTGAATGTGCTTAGAGAAGGCAGCAATACGGTTGGGACACCAAGAAATATGGAGGAGAGCATCCATACAGAAAGGAAGAACTCAACAGAAACGGCTCGAAGGAGCCAGGGAGAAAGCTGGGCAAGACCTGAGAGAGGAAGAGGAGAAAATGCATTCTCCCGTCACACTGTGAGCCACCCTGACCTCCTGCTAATAAAACCAGCCCCGATCACACCCAAGCTAGACCTGAAATCACACTGTGGGGCTGGGGGTGGGAAGAGGGCAAAGGAAAAGCAAGATGTCTAGTCACCAGTCATTTCTTCCCTGGGCATCACTAAACGCCCAAGAGAGCAAAGGGCAATAGGGATAAAGACTGGGGTCAGGCAGGGATGGGGTGCTACTGAGGCACTGGGACCAGGGCATCACCACTGTAAGGGTGTCTTATCATTTGGGTCAACCTTCTTTCTTGGGAGTGACCTGTAAGGAGCTCTTCACTTCTATGAAGAAAGCCCACTGCCCAAGGAAGCTCTCGCCCTGCTGTGGGGACAGAACACATTCCCTGACAGCATGGGCAGGAGCAAGACTGGATTCAAGATGCAGAAACAAGACATCAAGGGCAGCAGTGAGGGCCCACAGGGTCCCCCGCCCCGCCCATCTCCTGCAGCGTGGGTATAGGCTTCATGTGGCAAACACAGACGGACTGGGTCCAAGGCTGGTCATCAGCAGCTCGTTCAGGATTAGAGCCGGGAAGGGAGACCAGCATGGGGCGCCATCCCCAGGAGAGACCCCTGAAAGCCCACCATAATGGAAGAGGAAGACAGGGTCACTGGCCATGTGTGGCTGGAAGGAAACCCCCGACCTGAGCTCAAGAAGCCTCTGGGCCTCCTCCCTTGTGTCTTATCCTACCTGCCCACTGAAGATGTAATCCAGGATCTCTCTCATGACCATCACCGATATCCCTTCCAGTTCAATCTTATAAGTGGATCCATCATCTTTTGGAGGATTATAGTTTAACTTTGTCCTAAGAAAGGAAAAAAAAAATAAAATTTCTATGAAAAAACAAATAGCTATAAATATTTATGCACTAAATATTCTACGATACATATTAGCTTTGCAATTCCACTCAGAAAATTTAGTTTGTTAACTTTAAGTCAATATATTCTTACAACTTTCAACTATAAAACATTGGTACCAATGTTCAAGATGCCGCTGCTGCTGCTTCTTTTTTTTTTTTAGTTGTAGGTAAACACAAAAATCTCTATTTTATTTTTTATGTGGTGCTAAGGATTGAACCCAGTGCCTCACATGTGCTAGGTGAGCGCTTTTACTGCTGAGCCCCAGCCCCAGCCCCAGATGCTGCTTTTTTTAAAAAAAGGCAAAACAGACAAATGAAGAACTAAGATCCATGTGACCATGAATCTCTATTCACTTGGAAATCCAAGTTCTTTTAGGCTTATTATTTGTGTATTTATTTATCCAATAATTATTTTCAATTATGTAACAAGGACTTTACAAGCCCACTACCCAAAGCAAAAGCTAAGTGTTGACAATAATTAGCTTTAACCAAATGGTTCCCCCAAACCATACACTACTCTGTTTCTATCATTGGAAGTAACTATAATGCAAATCTTGTGTTGAATTTTTTGCTTCCTTTATTTGTTCATCCATAAGAGCCTATCTCCTGGTTCTGCTGTGTAACTTTCCACTTTCCTACGGATGGTTTCTGAGGTTGTCATGAGGTTCTTGATGGTCTGAACATGTGTTACTGTAACTATTATGTACACATCTCCATTTGTACTCTGTAAAAGAACTTCCCTTGGGTATGCCGGGGAATGGAGTTGGGTTGCATTATCCACCAAAGCAGAAGATGATAATAAATATTCTCCACAGCTGAGCAGCTGACAGCCTCATCTCTGTCTGTGGATCCACACACTCTATGATGCCTGAACCATCATCACTCTGAGATTGGCCCCAAAGGTGACTGTGGCATCTCACTGAGACTGCCAATCTGCATTTCCCCATCCAGGTACTGAATGTCTCTTCATGTGTTTGTGGCCAGGTTTCCTCTTCTGTGAAATAGCTGTTAAGTTCATGTCTGTTTCTCTCTTTTTGAGGTGTTGGGGGCAGATGCAGGGCTTCATGCATACTAGACAAGCACTCTACCCACGAGAGACATCCTTAGCCATTCTTTTCATATCAAGCGTTCTTTATATATTCTTGAAACTTTTTTTTTTTTCCCCCTGAGGCAATGTCTCACTAAGTTGCTTACAGCCTTGCTAAGTTGCTGAGGCTGGCTTCAAACTTAAAATCCTCCTGCCTCAGAATTCAGAGTCACTGGGATTACAGGTGTACACCACTGAGCCCAGCTATATTCTTGATATTCATCCTTTGGTAGACTCTAGCTTTTGTAAACGTGGTGGGCAATTTGAAGAACGTTTTTCAAAGCCAATGCTTGTAAGTCTTGTTTGCAATCTACCCAAGGTCTAAAAGATATTCCAAATATTCTTTTTTTTTTAACATGCTTCTTTTTAATTCATGACTCCTATCCTCAATAGTCATACTATTATTCTTCAATTCATATATAGTTCTCATATGCCTTCATTCTCCTACTCTCTAAAACTATTACTTTACATTTTCTTCTTTTTCCTCAAACCTGAAGCACAGTTCCTGATCATCTTCAGCTGGTACACTTAATTCTCATTTCATTATGAAGATAGAAGCAGTCAGAAGAGTGTTTTAACATGCTCTGTTCACCAAAACTACCAAACCACCTGTGCTGATACTCACGTACCTCCTTCTGTGACCTGAGTGTACTATCCTTGTCCCATCTATGGATACTATCCTCATTCCAAATACTCTTTATTAAGACTTTCTGGCTTGAGCTTGGGTTGTGGTTCAGTAGTAGAGCACTAGCCTAGCATGCATGAGACATTGGGTTCAATCCTCTGCACCACATAAAAATAAATAAATAAAATAAAAAGATATTGTGTCCATCCACAACAACAATTTTTTTTTTAAAAAGGCTCTATGGAAAAATATATATTTAAGTTAAAATTTTAAAATAGCTTTGAACATAATATTGACAGAAATTACAACTATGTTAAATCTCAGAAATGGCATTATGTTAACCGTTACCAAGTAACTACGCTTTCTAAAAAAAAAGTAAAGTGCATCTCACACGCTGATCCTAAGCAGCAACAGCTTCATGGAAAACATTTGGAAACCAGAAGTTAAACTTACCTTTGCATTCAGAACTCTATCTAATAAAGTCAATCAAGAATCAGACTTGTGGAAGAAAGAATACAAGGAGAGCAGGAAACCACATTAACAAAATTCCTAAACTAGAAACAAACAAGAACACCTGATCTGAAACACCGAGGACATGAATCTTAGCTCAGCAGTGAGCAAAGGCCATACATAGAACACACACACAGACCCCCCAGGCATAGGAACCATGGGACCAGGGAGCTGTGGACAGAGGGGAGAAGGACAAACTAAAAACAGCCAAGTCTTCCGGAACAGCCAAATTCACATAACTTCCCTCCTAAGTTTCTACACGGCTCCCTGCTAAGAGTTTAGTAAGTCTCTCTCTAGCTGTGGTGGAAGAAAAGTGATTTTTATTCTGAAAAGGATGGAACTGAGGTCTCGACAGGGGCACCAGGCACATCTTCGGGAAGGCATGCTGCCCCAAACAGCGTGAGAGAACATATACACCCAGCCTCCACCAACTCAGCTCCTAACATGCTGAAAGCAAGACCAATAGCCTCAAGCAAGAAACCCCAAGACTCTCCTGGAGGATTCCATCAACCCAAGAGTACAGACCTGACGGTACTGACATTGATCTGTCCCAGGAAGATGGGCCAGCTTGACCAAGAGAGAGTGAAAGCCGCAGTCAACAAGTGTGGCCCTTGGGCTCCAGGCTTTTCCATGTTACAACACAAGTGGAAAATGGAATTTACTCCAGGTAAATAGGCCCCAGGGCCAGATAAGCTAAGACTCTCCAGGTGTTGCCCCAGCTATCAGAAGACTGTACTGTCTATCTTCACACACCTTTTTGTTTTTTGGTTTTTTTGGCATACTAGTTAAGAAACTGATAGCCCTACTCTTAAAATTGAGTACACAGGATTCACTAGACATCTAAAAAAAGACAATAGGTAAACCAAAATCAACAGGAAAAAAAGTGAAGATTATGCCAAATTGAAAAGCTCAAGGTAAAAAGAAAACCTCTCGTTAATATTCCCAGGCAGAAAAGAGAAGATATTGTGCTCATGAAATAAGAACAGGTGCTCCAGAAAGAAACAAAGAAAAACAAAATGGTTGTAAAACAACAACAAAAAATTTTTTTGATTGATTGAACCCAGGGGCATTGAACCTCTGAGCCACATTCCCGTCCACTTTTATTATGTTAAGACAGGGTCTCACTAAGTTGCTTAGGGCCTTGAATTTGCAATCCTCCTGCTCAGCCTTCTGTGTTGCTAGGATCACAAGTGTGTGCTACAGTGCCCAGCACAAAACAAACTTTTTTGAATATAAAGTCCGAATGAAAAGTTGAGGAATCTCCTACAAAAGAGAGAAAAAGACAAGGAAATAGGAAAGTCAAAAAAAACTATAATATCAGTACAGAAGGTTGGACATCTGAAAACAGGAACATCTCACAGCAAAAAGAATACCATGTGCTCATGACATGGAAGAAACAGACCCACTCCATGTCTCTTCCTTCTATTTCAGAATAGTTAAAAGAAGTAAAAAGGCTTAAAACTTTCAGAGAGAAAATAGGCTACACAGAAAGGAAGGGCAGTCAGATGGCTTCATGCTTATAAATGGAAGTAAACAATGGGAGAGGACTTCAAAATCCTGGAGGAAAATTATTTCCAACCTAGATTTTTTGTTGCTGTGTTACAGTGCTGGTGATTGAACTCAAGATCTCACACATGCTGGGCAAACGTTCTACCACTAAGCCACATCAGCACCCCAACACAGATTTTCATAACTGACCAAACTATCAATCAAATATCAAGATAGAATAAAGACATTTTATACACACAGGTTCTACCAGTGTGGCTTTTCTGCCACAAGATCACAAAACAATTTACCTCTCATGCAACCTTTTTCAGAATGCTGTTGGAAAATGTGCTTTAATCAAGTCAAGAAAGTTTCTGGACACTAAAAAAAATAGGATCCAGCAAATCAAGTGAAGGGAATGCAGGGAGATGGTAGAGGACGGTCCCAGGACAACAGCTATGGGCCAGTACAAGGGAATCAGTCTTATTTTGCTGTGAGTAGGAGGCGCTTGCCAGTCTTTAGGAAGATGTGATGTATATCTGAAGGTATAAAGATGGTATTCAGACAACATTGATTTCTCCGTATATTTAAAATCTACACTCCCGTGTCAACAGCTTCTTTTGAACTCCAGGTTTTATTCAATAGGCACTTCTTGCAGCACCCTAAGGTTTATCTAGACCTGACACTTTTATTAATAATGATGAAAAAAAATTCAGTCAATTCCTAGTTAAGAGAGAAAACAGAATGTGGTAAGAATAACACCTAAGTCACTAACACTTGGCTTCACAGGCACTGTACCATCTTGATGACACAGGCATGTCTTTCTGGTGAGTTTCTCTTAGGATGTCACTATCTATACTTGTGGCTGTGCTGGTTTTCAATGTATCACTTCTTGGTTCTAAATTCATTCACCCTTTTAGATCACTTGGTGAAAAAGGGTCTGGGCCTTTTAAATCATTTTCCTTGGTCAACTGGCACAATATTAATTTCTTTAGAAGACAGCACAGGAAACACCACAGGAGGAAAGGGTTTGCTTCCTGGCTCTGGCTCCCTCTGTGTGGGCCTCTCTCCTTTGTGGGTCCAGGTTCCTGCAGCGGGCAGTTGCCAGCAGTACTTTGCGGTTCCCTGGCACCTCCTTAAGGCACCTCCCCCTGAAGCTTTCTCACTTACCTTAGAGGACAGAATTACAGCAAGTTCTACCAGTGTGGCTTTTCTGCCATTCCATGAGCCAGGGGTATG